TTTGGGTTTAAGTCTCAGTCATACAATGATGAAACACCCATCCCTTCACCAGTACCCATTTTCCACCACCAAAAACCCCAGTATACCCCCTATCCCACACACCCTCCTCCTACCTGTAGGACAGATAATTTCTACATTACTCTCTCTACCTTGATTACATTCAATATTTTGACACCAGACCCACCATTATTATATGGAATTTTACCCCAACACTCAGATCTGCCAAAAAGTCAACCATAGACAATTTGTTTTCTGTTGCTGGTTATGAATAATGTATGATGTCACGCGGCCACAGTAGTGGCCTCGTGATTTTGGAGTTCCTAAATTTCAACAATTGAATCTGGAGAAATTTCTGCCAGACCTGCTGGGTTCCGAGATTTGTTTCTGAATCTCTGGGATCATGGCCATTCAGCAGTTTGATCAGGAGCCAGATAGGCCATTCGTGGGTGGCCACCCAGGGACTTGTTAGGGCTGGGAGGAAAGGGCTGGCTCCACCCCCATCTTGCAAGGCCCCACATATCTCATCACTGCAGGCCCAAACCTGACTATCCAATGGCCTCTGGAGGATGGTGGCCACCGAATATTATGACTCATTTTTTTTTAATTTAGTAATTTATTGAGAGCTTATCTGGAGCGATAGCACAGCAGTAGGGCATTTGCCTTGCACGCAGCCAATATGGCCGACCCGAGTTCAATTCCTCTGCCCTCTCGGAGAGCCATGCAAGCTACCGAGAGTATCTCGCCCACACGGCAGAGCCTGGCAAGCTACCTGTGATGTATTCAATATGCCAAACACAGTAACAACAAGTCTCACGATGGAGATGTTACTGGGCCTGCTTGAGCAAATCGATGAACAACAGGAGGACCGTGACCGTGACCAGTAATTTATTATTCTTTTATGATACTTTCAGTATTATATTATAGTATGATATAAAAGTATTATATGATACTTTCAGTATTATGACTCATTTAGTGGAGAAAAGTTTGCTTAAATTTTAATGATACATAAGCAACCATTTTTGAATAATTTTCATTCTCATCTCTAAAAAATGGAAGGCATTTTGAAATTATTGCTTTATAGATATGGCATACATTTATTTTTGCCATATTTGTAAAACAACGAGGATATTAATTTTAGGCAAAGATTAATTTAAACATAAGATAAATATGTGCCACACTCCACATCAGTATAAACAACATACATTACATGTTTGTTTTGTTTCTGTTTTTTTGAAGATGGCCACACCCAGTAGTACTCAGGACTGACTCTTTGCTCTGGGCTCATAGTGGACATGGGAGACTATTTGGGATGCCAGGGATCGAAAGGGATAAGTTGCATGCAAGGCAAATGTCCTAGCTGCTGTACTATCACTCTGGCCCAAGATGCTTAAAGAATTAAATATTCTGTGAATTTTATCATTTTAAGGTAAAACTTAGAGGATATTTTCTCATAGCTCTGAGTCTAATTTTAAATGCCCTCATCTTTTCCCAACATTGCCAACAAATTTAAAAAAAAAGGAGGTGGGGAGGAAATGATCCAGACAAAATTAATAAGAAGCACATTCAAAGGGATTAAATTCCCTTTGAGACTTACAATCAGAAAGATATACATTGGAAAGCTCCTATAGCTCAAGAGTAACAACAAGAACAGTGCACACACACACACACACACACACACAAACACAAATATTCAGTCTCACAAGTCTCTAAATGTCCTCCAATTCATTTCTCTTTCTAATGGAAGTATGTGCTAGAGGCTCAAGTTAGATAAACTACCGGGTTGTCTCTTAAAGAGGGACGACAGTCCCTCCAGCTGTAAGTACCTTAAACTTATCACCTCATGAAGTCAACACGATTTCATATTAGAAGAAGACCCTAAAATAAAACATTTGGCTATTTTGCTTGTATTTCACATTTGTAGTAGGAAAGAATCTATTCTTGTAACCTAAAGAAAAAAAAATCAGGCTTTAATGTATATGTTAGTCAATTTTCTGCTAGAACATTCTGAACTGTGTGTTCATTATTTCTGAGGCACACATACATACTAGATGTCAGGCATACAACAGTGCTGACTAAAAGAGTCACTTCTCTTCCTCTCCTGGAGCTGGCATACCAGGAGACATTTCAGACTGGACTGCTACTGTTAAAGGTGCTTTGGAAAGCAAAGCTTTGGGTAGGGCAGTTTGCCAAAGTTTCACAAGATAAAGGAATAATAAAGGCTCAAGGAAGAAAAAGATTTGGGGTCACACTGTAGCACTGCCCTCCTATTGTTCATTGATTTGCTCGAGTGGGCAACAGTAACGTCTCCATTGTGGACCTGTTGTTACTGTTTTTGGCATATCGATTATGCCACGAAGTGGTTGCCAGGCTCTTCCATGCGGGCGGGATACTCTCTGTAGCTTGCTCTCCTAGAGGGATGAAAGAATCGAACCCTGGTCAACCGTGTGCAAGGCAAACGTCCTACCCACTACGCTATGGCTCAAGTACTGAATGAGGCAATAGACCAGAAAGCTGGAGGAGGAAATTGAAAAGTCAACCCTCATGAGGTGGTTTGGATATCCAATCAGCAGGATTCAGCAGTTGCTAACTTGAGAATTAAATCTGAATTTCACTGGAAAAATAGAAACTGAGAGGTTTGGGAAAGACAATAATGATGCTATGCAACAGTGTCAGAATTTTAAAGTTTCAAGAAGCATACATACCTTGCCCATCTCACAGTTTCTGTGGGCCAGCAGTCTGAAAATGAGTTAGCTTGATCTCAAAAGCTCATGAGACTGCAATCCAGGTATCAGCTGGAGGTGGTCTCATATGAAGTTTTAAGTGGGAAGACCCATGTTTCAGGGTTTTTTAAAAAAGACTTTTTTTGCCAAATTAATTTTTTGTAGCTATATGACTGAAGGTCCCAGTTTCTTACTAGCAAGTGACTGAAAGTCCACTTCAGATCTTACAGGTACTTCAATTTTTATATGCACTTTTCCATAACCTTGTTCACAGTTCATCAAAATGGGAAACTGCCCAATTCAGTTTAGCAGGTAATTTATAAAATGCTAGTTTAGTAGAAGAATTTAACCAAAGCAATGACATTATTCTAACTTTTCTACACAATATAACTCAATTAGCACTGTAGCACTGTCTTCTCATTGTTCATTAATTTGCTCTAGCGGGCACCAGTAACATTTCCATTGTGAGACTTGTTACTGTTTTTAGCATATAGAATATGCCACCGGGAGCTTGCCAGGTTCTGCCGTGTGGGGGAGAGGGGGATACTCTTGGTAGCTTCTCAAGCTCTCCGAGAGGGGCAGAGAAATGGAAACCAGGTCTGCCGGGAGCAAGGCAAATGTCCTAACCTCTGTGCTATTAGAGTGGATCACCCGATTAAGGGAGTAGAATTGCATAACCTGAGGCGAGAGTTAGTATGTGAGTAAGGTGTTTGCCTTACACGTGGCTGATCCCAATTTGACCCTCAGTATCCCATACAGTGCCCCAGCCTTCCAGGAATTTTCCCTGACTGCAGAGCCAGGAGAGAACCCTGAGCACTGCTGGTGTCGCCAAAAAAATGAAAGACAGAGAAGGAACGAAGGAAGGAAAGATAGAAGGAAGAAAGAAAGGGATAGAGCAGGGGAGAGAGGGAAGGAAGGTAGGAAGGAAGGAAGGAAGGAAGGAAGGAAGGAAGGAAGGAAGGAAGGAAGGGAGGGAGGGAGGGAGGGAGGGAGGAAGAAAGAAGGAAGGAAGGAAGGAAGGAAGGAAGGAAGGAAGGAAGGAAGGAAGGAAGGAAGGAAGGAAGGACAGACAGACAGACAGACAGACAGACAGACAGACAGACAGACAGACAGAAAGAAAGAAAGAAAGAAAGAAAGAAAGAAAGAAAGAGGGAGGAAAGAAAGAAAGAAAGAAAGAAAGGAAGGAAGGAAGGAAGGAAGGAAGGAAGGAAGGAAGGAAGAAAGAAAGAAAGAAAGAAAGAAAGAAAGAAAGAAAGAAAGAAAGAAAGAAAGAAAGGAATTACATAACCTTTGTCATATTTCACTGACTAAAAGTAAGTCATGGGCAAGTTTAACATTCAAAAGGAAAAGATCACAGGACAGAAGGGGTCATGGGGTTTACCTTAGGGAGTGTCTGCCGCAATTTGGATGTGCTGTATGTGAAGTGACAGAAGAGATTTATGATGAAAAGGCCACTAGCAATTACAAATAAGACAGAGTACACTCAGAAAGTTTTGTCCTCAGTGAACTTTCAGTAGTAATTTGAATTAGACTACACCCTCATAATGTTATATACATAGCTTTCACTAGACAAGTCTAGTCTATAAAATCAATATAGTAAAGCTTACTATGATAATAAAATCAATCAAGTAGTCATCAAAATAAAAACTTGGATATGTATAATAGCATTGCATAGACAAAGTTAAAAGGCATGGAGATGAATGTTTATCCTTTAGAGTCAAAGATAAAGTAATTTAGTTTTCTTATCTGAAACGTTCATAGCACACAAATTGGCAGTCTCTCAGCAAATATCTCCTGGAAAAAGAAGTAATACTTCCCACTTCACTTTAGCTTTTGAGCCAATTTCCATCTAAAACACAGAAGTTAATTCTGGTTAAAAGTTAAAAAAGTTAAAGGCCCTCCCGTTGATCGTCGATTTGCTCGAGCGGGCCCAGTAACGTCTCCATTAGAGACTTTGTTGTTACTGTGTTTGGCATATCGAATACTCTCAGTAGCTTGCCGGGCTCTCCGAGAGGGGCGGAGGAATCGAACTCGGGTCGGCCATGTTGGCCGCTTGTAAGGCGAACGCCCTACCCGCTGTGCTAATTCTGGTTAGCGCGCAACAAAGTGGTGGTCTTAAATATCACTTGAAAATTGAAGGAAAATGTTGAAGGAGAGTAAAAGTGCTGAAAATTGGTGTGTGTGTGTGTTCCTAGTTATTTGTTTTCTTTTTCAATTGCTAAGCTACAAAATACAGGGAATGCAGAGAAACTATATCTTGTTTTTTGGTTTTTTTTTCCACATCAGATGGGTAAATGTGCCAACAACATAACGATATTTAAGAGAGGAATATATCACAACATGTGAACACCTAATTATCAGGCTTATGAACTGAAAAAGGTTTCTATACCTGTTCTTATGTGATCAAATCTGTCTACAAAGCAATAATTTCACTTGTGGGTGAAGTCACAGGCTATTACTCTCTATGTCACACTTTTGTGCCTTTGCATTCCCGTTCCCTAGTGACAGAAATCAGAACAAAAGAACATCATACCCCACATCACTGTATCACTGTCCTCCCGTTCTTCATCGATTTGCTCGAGTGGGCGCCAGTAATGTCTCCATTCGTCCCTGACACGTGCTAGTGTAGTCCAATGGCATATTGGGGACTCTTCAGGGTCAGGGGAATGAGGACCCTCATTGTTACTGCTTTTCACATATCAAGTACTCCACGGTTAGCTTGCCAGGCTCTGCCATGTGGGCGGGATACTCTTAGTAGCTTGCCGGGATCTCCAGGACGGATGGAGAGCCCGCATAGAAAATATTAAATAAATTCAATAGGTATGTAAAAAGGTTCCCTTGCCTTGTTTTTAATTAACTGCATTAAGTAATCATAGGTGTGGAGAAAACAAAAACAGCTACGGTGCTGAAGAGATGGTTCAAAAGAGGGAAGCACATACTTTGCATGCAGAAACATTCTCCACCATTACATGGTTCCCTGAGCACCTCACAAGCAGAAGACTTCAAATACAGATCTGGAAGTAGCTCCCACCTCAGTAGTGCTGGATGTTGCCCCCCCCCCCAAATAAATAGCAAAATTTATAAAATTCAAGATAGAAAACCACTAAATGTATACCATAATCTGGAGAGAAAAGTGGGACATACATGGCAAAGAATGTCTTCTACTTTTTGTAAAGAAGTCTTTACAAATAGTATGATGATAGGAGAATAAGTGAAAGACTTAACAAAATGCAATCACTAAAATGCGTTGGGGGTGGGAGAAGCAATAGTACAGTGAGTAGGGCATTTGCCCTACATGTAGCCAATGTCTGGCATCCCATTTGGTCTCCCAAGCACTGCCAGGAGTAATTCCTAAGTGCAGAGCCAGGCAACCCCCCAGAGCACTGCCGGGCCTGGCCGAAAAACAAACAAAGATGCTTAAGGGGAAAAAAAACTCAACCTCATTTGAAATGAAAGCAATCACTAATTTCAATGTATGCAATAGATATACTCAGGTGGAAATGCAGAATAATCTATATCTTAATTAGTTGTAGATAGCACACATTGCCATAAACTTCCTCAAATACATTTCAACATAGATCAAAATTTCTAAAATGTTATGATTTTATACCCTGGCACAAGCAATTCTACTTCTAGAAACTAATGTGAGGAGGGGAAGTGTGATTTATTTATTTTTATTTATTTATTTTTTTTATTAGAGTCATGACTCTAAAGACTACCAGTAACATCTGGCTAATGGAAGAGTAAAGAGAAGACACATAACCATACCAGTTGCTTAGTGATACCACTTTCTCTTACATTTTGTGGTGAAAATTAATCACATAGTCTCACCTAGTTGCTAGGTGATAAGAAAAAGTTGGTCTTAGTTTGGCTGGAAATTAACAAAGCAAAACCTCTATAAAAGGGTCACACTGATTTTGGAGGTGTTAGCCATCTCTGCCGTAAGCACACACTCAATAATGAACCTCTTGTCTTTCAAAAATTATTTAGAAATGTAAACTGGGCAATACACTGAATGAAAACATGATCCAATGTAGATATGAGTTTCATTATTTAAATTTTACATTTTAAAGTCACAATATGTGACCAATCCAGGAAAGAAGAAATAATCTGAAATATGGTGATATTAAAAGTAATGTATCCTGCTAAGTGAAACGAGTCAGAAAGAGAGGGACAGACATAGGATGACTGCACTCATTTGTAGAATATAAAATAACATAATATGAGAATAACACCCAAGGACAGTAGACACAATGGCCAGGAATATTGCTCCATAGTTGGAAGCCTGCCTCATGAGCTGGGGGAGAAGGCAGCTGGAATAGAGAAGGGATCACTAAGTCAATGATGATTGGAGGTATCATTCGGGATGGGAGATGTGTGCTGAATGTAGATAAAGGACTAAACGTGATAGCCTCTCAGTATCTATATTGCAAAGCGTAATGCCCAAAAGTAGAGAGAGAGTATGGGGGAAATTGTCTGCCATACAGGCAGGGGGGAGTTGTGCTGGGGAGGCCTACTGGGGAACATGGGTGGTAGAAAATGTGCACTGGTGGAGGAATGGGTGTTCAATCATTGTATGAGTGAAACTCAAAAGCTTTGTAACTGTATTTCACAGTGATTCAATAAAAAATTAATGATGTATCCAATATAGAAAAATACTGTTATTCTTTTTCACTTTCTTTATTTTAACTACATACTTTAATAAAGCCACCCAACAAATAAAATATTTAAATCTAAAAAATAATAAAAGACATCCAGAGGCTTTTTAATGTGCATTTATGAAAAGACTTTGTGCATTTAATGTGCATTTATGAAAAGGGCTAGAGCGATAGCACAGCGGTAGGGCGTTTGCCTTGCCTGCAGCCAACATAGCCGACCCGAGTTCGATTCCTCCACCCCTCTCGGAGAGCCCGGCAAGCTACTAAGAGTATCTCGCCCGCACGGCAGAGCCTGGCAAGCTCCCTGTGACGTATTCGATATGCCAAACACAGTAACAACAAAGTCTCCAATGGAGACATTACTGGGCCCGCTCGAGCAAATCGATGATCAACAGGAGGGCCTTTTATGAAAAGACTTTAAGAACTTTGGGTTTGGGGGTGCTTTGGGGTTTGCACTCCCAGCTCTGGATGGCTGTTTGCAAGACATGTACTCGAAGTGTTGTATTGTTTCTCCATCCCCAAGAAATTCAGGTGCTATTAATCACATCCTAAACATTTGAAAATAATAGAATAATATCATTCTGTTTTACTACAGCAACTTTGCCATTTTTTTCAAATACTAAAACCTATGGGGAAAACAAGCCTCATTGTTTTCACCTGTATTTGGTAAACGTGGATACAGTGGAAATTATATAATTCTTAGTTGTACATAACTCATTATATCAATTATCATCAATAATGTGTATTAGTTCCTCATTGCATCAGGGAAATTTAAGTAGTGAAAACGTTATGTTCAATTACATTCCAATTGTTTCTGGACTATTTTTTGTGATAGCAATTGCCAGTAAATGTTTTGTAACAACTAGGCTTTGCACTCCAAGTCCAAAGCATTTTTGGGATTGAATACACACCTCTCAAAACAGTTAGTCTACCTTTAAGGGTTTTGTAGATTGTTTCTCTTGGGTAAGGGTTTTATGACTGAGGGGTGCGTGGGTGGGTAGGGGAGGAAGGAAGAGGGGCTGACTCACAATGCACGGATAACAAGGTTGTTAATATCACTCTTATCAATGGTCTTTGCACTTCACTTGTTTAGAAATAAAAGAAAAGACATTTCTGTGAGTCACTGCATTTTGTCCATTCCAGCTTGGCAGGTCACCTTGTTCTAACAGACAAAAACTGAGTCAACGTGGGAAGAGCCAGTGTTCAGGGAAGGCTCATCAAACACCCAGTATGCCAGGTGAACCAGGGAAAAGAGAATGTCTGGAGATAACCAAAGCATTTTATGTTCAATCTATGCCAAAGTTTCTGCGTTGTAAAGGCAGAATTCAAGTTTCTAATAGAAAAGAGCCATTACCCACCACAGAGTATTTCCTGAAAGTCCCGATCGGACTTGTGGTCTTCTAATAAAATTTTAACTTTACAGCAACAAGACAGCTTAATGGGAAAGGACCCTGTACTAGTTTGCACTTTCCTACCTGTACTTGTATCACCACCCTCTATATCGGCATATGTTAATATCAAGTGGGCTGGAGTGACAGCACAGAGGGTAGGGCATTTGCCTTGCACACAGCTGACCCGGTTGGCCCAGGTTCGATTCCTTGGCCCCTCTCGGAGAGCGCAGCAAGCTACAGAGAGTATCTTGCCCACACGGCAAAGCCTGGCAAGCTCCCTGTGACGTATTCGATATGCCAAACATAGTAACAACAAGTCTCACAAGCCCGCTTGAGCAAATCAGTGAGCAATGGGAGGACAGTGACAGTTAATTTCAAGTGGTATGAAAACGTTATATTTACTATTCTACATTCTCATTTTTATATGTTTTTCACTTTTACCCCCCTTTTATACATATACTGAGCACAAAAAAAATCTAATAAATATGGGTAGAGGCAATAATCATATATTATTTAAAAAAATCTTATAGCAATTTCTTATCTTTTCATTAATGTATTATTTTGTAACATTATACGATTTAGTACGTAGCATTATAATTTATCCTCTATATATTCTACATTATGATGGCCTCCAAATATTTACTTTCCATCTTTCAATGTATAGTTAACTGACCCTTTTCACTTATTTTATTCCCATTCCCATTCCTCACTAACTTGTTAGCCACTCTTTCATTTTTAGTCTTAAGAGTTTATTTTTATTTTGTTTTACTTGCTTGTTTTATTATTTTTCATATATGAATGAAAACAGATGCTACTTGTTTTTCCACATTTGACGTACTTCATTTGTCAAAATACCCTCAGGGCCATCTATGTTGCTGCTCATAGGAGAAGGCAAGTATTACATGTAATGAGAGAATTTTTTTAAATTGAATCACTATGAGTTACCCAATTACAAAGCTGTTCATGATGGAATTTCAGTCATACAAAGACTGAACACCATTACCTTCACCAGTAATGACATATTTTTAAGAAATGTTTTGTGCCTTTCTTCCTATAACTTCTATTCATTTCTATGGGGTGCTTTGAGAGCTTGTTCTGCAGGACACATTCTTGACTGCTGTATTGTTCAATGTGAAAAAAAAGAGCTCAGGGTGAGGAAGATTATAACTGGGGAATTTACAAGGATTTCCTGTTTTGAGTAGCTCCTTCTTCCTCCCTGGTAATGTGCTATTTACATTTTTTTTTAAAAAAAAAGCTACCTGCATTTTAATATTATTCACTCTTCTCCACTCCATAAGAAATCATGTGAGGTAGAGAAGGAAAGATGTTGCAA